ATTCTCAACTTTATTGAAATTTCAACAAGAAGAAAGCTTGCTCAATAGCTCAAGTATCTCAATTTAGCAATTTGGGAAGTTTGGACTCTTGGAGTTGAAATGCTTCAACTGTTGAAATCAAGTTGGGATTCTTAACCGACAATCTGGGTAAGTGCAATTAAATTAATTTTTATTTTTTAGAATTAAAAAAAAAAATGATCAACTCCTCTCGAAACCAATTGCCCAAAATGTTCAATGTTGACGATATTCAGTCGTAGCATGGTAGTGTTAGCACCGATATGGATGCTATTGATATTGATGGAACTTTCACCCCTAGTACTAATACTAGGGGAAAAAAAAGAAGGCCACCATATAAGTTGATTAGCCCGATTAGAAAATATTTAAAGTAGAAGAGGTTTAGGGGAAGAAAAAAAGAATTGTTTGCCAAAAATGTAGGAAAGACTTTAGTTATTGTAGCAAGGGTGGTACTAGCCGTTTGGGTAGACATTTGCTCACCCATGACAAGAAGAAGAAGAAGAAGAAGGGAGAGAAACAATACAAACACAAATTAGGTAGGGGGTTTTGGTACATTTAAATATTCTCAAGAAAAAATGAGGCAAGAATTAGCAAAATACATTGTACATGCTGAACAATCATTTTTGTTAGTTGAAGATATTAAACTTGAAAAATGGTTACGTAATTCTGTAAAACCACAATTTAAAAAAGTTTCTAGGAATACTATTAGATCAAATGCTTTAAAAATTTTTTATTCATATAAACAAAATTTAATTTATATGTTATCAAATCTTAATTCTAAAGTTGCAATTACTTCTGATATATATTTAGACTTCTAAATTTAACGTAAGTTATATTTATGTTACCGGTAATTTTATTGATGAAAATTAGCTTTAAATAAAATAATTTTAAGTTTTACTAGGCTTGAATGGCCACATAATGGCCTAGCTATTGCTGTAAATATTTTAAATACTTTGCATGCTTATGGAATTGACAATAAATCATTTTCTATTAGTTTTAATAATGCTAGTAATAATGATTCAATAATAAATATTTTAAAATCTCAATTAAAGCCATGTTTAAATGATAAATTATTTCATATCATATGCGCATGTCACATCTTAAATTTATGCATTCAAGATACTTTAAATATTATTTCTACTCATATTTCTAAAATTATAAATTGTATTATAGTTTAAAATATGAGCATTTTATATTAGATATTAAACATAGATGGAATTCTACCTATTCTATGTTAGAAAATTGTATTTCTCACGAACAAATTCTTAGTGATTTATAATGCAAAAATGCCTACTGATATTATATTTGAGGAAGTCTGGGAAATGACAATTTGTATAAGATATTTTTTAAAACATCTTTATGATGCAACTAATGAATTATCGGGTATTTATTATCCAACTAGTTGTAATTTAGCTTATCAATTAATGATGATTAGTTATTGTTTTGCAAAATATAGAAAAAAATCCACAATTTAAAAGTATTGTTGAAATAATGGAAAACAAATTTAAAAAATATTGGGAGAACATTTATCCTCTTTATTGTTTAACTACAATATTAGATCCTAGGATTAGGAAAGATGGTTTAAATATTTTATTCAAGGTGCAAAGTATCGATACGATACGAGTTTCGGTCATATCATATCGGTACTTAGAAATGGTCGATACGTACTTTTTTTTTAGTTTTTTTTCAAAGTTTAGTTTTTTGGGAAATTTATAAGATATTTTTTATTATTAAAAAAAATTGGGGGTCCGAAACGCCTACGATACGATACGCCCCGTATCGGGCGTATCATATCGATACTTTGAACCATGATTTTACTTGAAACATATTGTGAAAATACGAATATTGAAATTGGAAATAAAAAAGAAAAAATTAATAGTTTATTATTTGAAATGTATAATTTATATGAATTTGAAGTAACTGGGAATAATAAAAATTCTAGAACTTGTACAACTGCATCTTCCACTTTTGAACTTGAGTCTAGTAGTGGAAGAGAATAACGTTTTTATTTAATAAGTAAGAGGCAGAAATCCACTACCTTGACAACAAGTTCATTTACTAAACTTAATTTTTATTTAGAAGCAATTTTTTCTACTGAAGGTGATTCTTCCTTCACCTCAAGGGAACAAATACTTTTGATATTTTAGCCTGGTGGAGTGAACATGCAAAAAATTATCCAGTTCTCGCTGCCATGGCACGTGATCTACTAACCCCTTTGGTGTCTACAGTTCCATCGGAGTATTGTTTTAGTGCATGTACTAAGGTGTTGGACAACAAGAGAAGTTGTATGAATGATAAGAGTCTACTTTAAAGATTGATTGGATCTTTAAAGAAGTTGGACAACAATACTAAGTATTGTTCATCTACTTTAAAGATTGATTGGATCCATGCTAAAGATAGATTGCAAGACAAATGAGGGCATGACACTAAACTTAATGTTTCACCTGAAGTAGATGATCAAAGTCAAGAACAATAGGAGAAAATGATGAAGTCAATATTTTTTATATACTCAATAGTTGTATAGCATTTTTTCAAATTATTATAAATTTTGTTTTAATTTATTTGATATTTTTAATAACATAATTTTTTATTTTCAATTTGTAACTATATTGTATTTTTTATATTTTATTAATTTATTCCATTTTCTAATTTTCATATTTCATTCATCAAACCATTGTATGCTTTGTATCATTCAAATTTAAATGAAATAAAATTCCTATTTTTCTTCTAATTTGTTATTCACTTTGAGTCTTTCATGGTGTTTGGAAGTATGGGCACTTTAAGGGACCGATTTTCAAGAAAAATGCCCATTCTTCCAAGACCCGTTTTTCACAAAAAAAATGCTTCTGCCACATAGGTAGTGAGCAACACTATGCTGTTTGGTATGGTGATTTTCATCACTGTTTTTCATGTATGTGCTGATAGGTAAGCACCACGTAGGATACACATCAATCAACCATGGTTCACCCGGTGGAGTCCCAATTTTCGAGGCATGCTGGATTTTTTAATAATCGGCTAAACCAAACAATGAGATACATCGGCGTTTGTTGAAATGCTTATGTGGATCAGATGTGGCACCGTTTTTTTGAAAAACGGCCACAGTTCCAAACATCCCCTATATCTCTTTGACTTATTATTTGGTTAAGTATTTTTTTTCATTTCTTTGTTCGACTTCTTATTTTTTCAAATAGTTCCCAAAGAAAAGTTCAATATTTTAGTTTTACTTAGCAAAGAAATAAAAAAATAAAAATGTCAAAAAAACAAAAGAAAAATAGTTTGTCCTAGTTCAGCCCACGCCTAAGGCCCGACCTACAACCCGCGGCATGGGCCTGCACTGGCGTGGGCCGTGGGTCGTGCCAGGCTGACCCCCCAAATTATCCCTAGGGAGGGCAACACGGCCTAGGACAGCCTTCAAGTTAGCACAACCTGTTTTACATCTCTATTCAACCCAAACAATAGTTTTTAACTGTTTTTTGTTTTAATTATTGTTTATTTTTTAAATTGCAACAAGTCACCCATTCGGCTTGGGGCAGTTAAACCTTTGACCCGAAAACCAATGGCCAAAGTGGTTACGGTTTCAAATAATTTTTTAAGGGAAAATTCTTTATCAGTACCTTGGACTTTGGGGGTTGTCTCAAGTCAATCCCCGAACTTCAAAACGTGTCTCTACAGTATCCCAAACTTTCAAAATATGTTTAATAGGTCTATACTGTTAACAGTCCATCAATTATCTGATCACATGATGACTTATGTCCCTTAAAACTCTTAAAAATATCAAACCTACCCTCCAAAAGAAGACATTGTTCATTACCTTTCTACCTTGAGATTGAACCAGTTGCTTTATATTTCGATACTAACGTCATTCCCAATCTATATACACGTAATTTAACCAACTACTAATTTAAAAAATCTTGTATATATTTGAAACTAAGGCTGAGTTTGGAAAGAGTACAAATGCAAATATGTACTGTGCAAATACATACAAAATAATGCAAAATATAAGGTTTTGCACTTTACATATTTGCATTTGTACTCCTTACAAACTGAGCCTAAATTGCTAATACACAGCTCAACTAGACACAAATAGCAAAACAAAATTGTTAAATGGATAAGAAGTGGAAGGCTAAAAACTCTACCCAAAACTATGAACTTCTGCTGAGAAGAACCAAAACTGATAGAATTGATTCGGATCAATGATTTAGATAGCAACAATAAGGATGATTATAACTAAATAAAAATAACACTTTCGGAAAAGCTTGATAGAAATGAGATAAAAAATAGGGATTCTAAATCCATAAAGAGAGTTCCACATATAATTCATTCCTCTCACGTTCATAATTAGAGACAAGGTTTTTAAAACGATCCGGACAACGAACCGGTCAAGGGTCCGGTTTCTGAGTCGAATGGCCTGACCGTTCGAACCAAACAATCGAACCGTTCTGACAAGAAAAATTAAAAAAAATGGTCAAAACCGTTGAACGGTTCGAACACCCGAGTCAGCAATTTGCTAACAAAATCAACATTTTTATGGAAAAAATCCGATTTTGGGGAAAAATGGAACCGATCACCTAACCGGTTTCCAGTTTTTTCCAGTCCAACCATTCGGTCTGGTCTGGTTTTAAAAACCATGATTAGAGATAACAAAAAAGAAATGTAATGGCAAAAAAGTGCAACTATGCCATTGGTTGAAGATGGAAAAATTTATAAGTCAGAGTCACTACTCCATTCCATTGGTTGAGCAAGACTTGGGATACATAAAAATAGTTCTACTTTACCACAACTATGCTAAGTCCTTTGGTAAATCATAAGGCGAGGTTTGTTGAAATAAGGTTCGGTGGGCGTATCGACATGTATGAGACCTATTTTTTATGTTTGTTTTTTTATTTTTTTATTTTTTGAAATTGGTTTAGAGGGGCTCGTTTAAGGCCGGTCTATCCCTCCAAACCACTATAAATATGGTTTCGGATGATTCTAGTTGAAAAATTAAATGATACCTGATAGGTATTTGGAGACACATTTTAAAACATTGACTCAAACCAAAAAAAACCCTTGTCGTCCGAATCTGTTCCAACTTCCAACCCAAAAAGGGATTACCCATGTCCCATGCGTACCCACTGCACACTATAACCGCGCATCTGTAATATCTTCCCTACTTTCTGTATCGCCATTAATCCTGAATCCTGATGCTGTACGGGTGCAGTGTTCCTTTGGTAGCGTTGTGCGTAATAAATCCAACCTTTCTCCCATTTCCATTCGTGGAGCACACAAACAAATAAGAGTAAGACATGGTCATATATGTGAAACCAAAGTAGAGATTTGCTCTTCCATACATGTATCAATCCAGGCAGCTGGATTGATGAAGATAACAAAGCCTTTCAATATCAAAATATCAACTACTACTGATAGCACAATAGAACGAGCCTTGGCAAGCTTGTATCAGGTCCATTTTCTTGACTATGGTGCATGTGGTCACCTCATCCAGCACTTCACCAATCACCATCTGGTTAGGCAAGGGAAGCAAATTCACGCCCGCCTTATTCTCACTTCTGTTATCCCCGATAATTTTCTTGCTTCAAAGCTGCTCACTTTTTATTCCAAGTCCGGTTCTCTTTATGAAGCCTACAAGGTGTTCGACAAAATTCCCAACAAAAATATCTTTTCATGGAATGCAATGTTTATTGCCTATTCTTTACACAACAGGCATTCTGAAACGCTGAAGCTCTTTTCATCTTTGGTAGCTTCATCAACAGGAACGGTTAAACCTGATAATTTCACAGTTACCTCTGTCCTGAAGGCATTGTCATGTCTGTTTCCTGATTCAAGATTGGCCAAGGAGATTCATAATTTTGTTCTTCGACATGGGTATGAATCAGATCTGTTTGTAGTTAATGCTTTGATTACCATCTATGCAAGGTCTAGCAATTTGGGGTTGGCGAGAAAATTGTTTGATTGGATACCGGATAGAGATATTGTGTCTTGGAATTCTATGTTGGCTGGGTATTCTCAGGCTGGATTCTATGAGGACTGCCTGAGATTGTATAGGGAGATGGAAAATTGCACTTATTTGAAACCAAATGAGGTCACGGTAGTTAGTGTTCTGCAAGCCTGTGCACAGTTGAAAGATCTTAATTTTGGGATGGAAATCCATCGCTTTATAATTGAGAACAAAGTCAAGGTGGATATGTCCGTTTGTAATTCTATTATAGGATTGTATGCGAAATGTGGGAGCTTGAATTATGCTCGAGAATTATTTGATGAGATGACTGAAAGGGATGACATTAGTTATGGCTCCATGATCTCCGGTTACATGCTTCATGGATTTGTAAATAAAGCATTGGAACTATTTGAGGGAATAGAAAAACCTGGATTGAACACTTGGAATGCTATGATCTCTGGACTTGTTCAGAATAACCACCACGAGGGTGTCCCAGAACTATTACGAAAACTTCAAACTGCAGGTCTTAGGCCAAATTCTGTGACTTTAGCGAGTGTTCTTCCGACATTTTCATATTTTTCAAACCTAAAAGGTGGAAAACAGATACATTGTTATGCTATTAGAAATGGTTTTGATCAGAACATCTTTGTGGGGACTGCCATAATTGATACATATGCAAAAGCAGGGTTTCTGCATGCGGCCCACCAGGTCTTTGTGCAATTGGGGAGTAAGAGTGTGATTGTTTGGACAGCTATTATCTCAGCATATGCAGCCCATGGTGATGCCAATGCTGCACTTAGACTATTTCATGAGATGATTACTGGTGGTATCCTGCCAGATCCTGTCACATTTACAGCAGTCCTAGCAGCTTGTGCACACGCTGGACTGGTAGATGAAGCCTGGCAGATCTTTAATACCATGCTTCCAGAATACAGGATACAGCCTACAATTGAGCATTATGCTTGTATGGTTGGAGTCATTAGTCGGGCTGGAATGCTTTCTGAAGCAGTTCAATTCATTTCTAAAATGCCTATAGAACCAAATGCCAAAGTATGGGGTGTGTTACTCAATGGTGCTGCAGTTTCTGGGGATGTTGACCTTGGTAAGTTTGTTTGTGATCAATTGTTTGAGATTGAACCTGAGAACACAGGGAACTATATCATTCTGGCAAATCTATATTCACAAGCAGGGAGATGGGAAGAAGCTGAAAGGGTTAGGGAGAAGATGAAAAAGATGGGTTTGAAGAAAGTTCCTGGTTGTAGCTGGATTGAAACGAGTTGTGGATTGCAGAGTTTTGTAGCTGGATATGTGTCAGACCACAGCACAAAAGAGATTTATGAAATCTTAGAAGGAATGGTTGAATTGATGAAAGAAGAAGGTTATGTTCCCGCAAATGATTTGGATGAAGATAGTTTTTATAGTTGAAGATCAAAATTTTGAGGATTTTGATATTTAAATATTATTTTTTTCTAGCTTAACTTTTTACAACACAAGGGTATGCCAGCACCTTTACTCAATTGTTGGGGTGGCAATTTTTGACCTAAACCATTTGACCCATCCACCTAACTCCACCAGTGTGAGCTTGTCTCATACTTCTGGTCCCAAGTCCGGATAAAGGAGGAGGGTTGCCTCAGGATGACAGCTGGCACTAAAACTTTTGCCTAACCTTCATGAATATGGATCCTGATGATGATGACCATTTGACCCATCCACCCATAAACCATCGAAAACCCTATCATTTAACAAGTTGATTAGATGTAAGTCAAGTAATCCATTGGGTCACATAGAAAGGGTTAGTGTGGGTTGGCTTGAGGGTATCTATATGGTCGCCATTTAAGGTTCCAATGCACTCCTCTATCTCTCTCTCCACATCCACTTCTCCACCTATTTGTAGAGAAGACAGAATCTTCAAGTGGGCTTGAACACTACTCTACAACTCGACCTTTGCCACCACTGATTGCCCATCTCCCCAAATTGCTACTAGTTTTTTTTTTTTTTTCTTGTATTCGCTTTTCACGAGCTATTTGAGCTCGGCTCATGAAAATCTCGATTTGGCTCGGTGTAAACCAAGCTTCAAGCCATGGCTAGTGAGGCTCACACACACACAAACACATTATTGTTTTTTGTATGTATAAAAAATATATGTATGCACATACATACAAATACAATATTTATATATATAATATGTATGTACATACATACATACATACATATATAAACAATAATATTTATATAAATATAAAATAAAAAATATTATATATAATAACTAGTTTATATAATTCTTAATTTTTTATGTGTAATTTTTTATTTTTATAAAGTGTTTGGCTCACAATTGAGCTTAAGCTGAGCCGAGCTCGAACTTACGAGCTTTTAACTCGAGCAAATCAAGCTCGAGACTCGTAGTTTATTGGTGAACCAAGCTTAAATAGCTAGATATTCAGCTCGGCTCGGCTCGAATCCACCCCTAACTGCATCCTAGATCCGATCAAGAGAGAGATCTTAGAGTTAGGTTGTTTACTCGCATAAGTCAAACACCATTAATTTGATATTCTATACAGTATGATCTAGGAGACAAGAGGGAGAGAGAAAGAGAGATATTAGAGTTAGGTTGTTTACTTGTATTAAGTCAAGCACCATTAATATGATATTCTATACAGTTTGATCATGGTGACGTTATTCTTGTCTAGGATAAGTGAAATTTGGTGACTGATTTAAAGCAATAAACAATCCTTCAAGCAACTAGTACCCTGTTACCATAAAACTTAAATAGAACAAGATAAAAGATTTACAATAGAAGGCATGCAGGCTGAGTCAAAGCTACATTAAGAGAGAAAGGGATAAGAAAAATATGAACCAAGAAGTATATGGTCCGCCAATTCAAAGTTGCCTCAATGGTTGCGGTGAACTTAAAGACTCACAATCCACCCAATAAACCTGGACAGGCAAAGAAAGGGATCCAGGATGAACCACAGTCTGGCTCAATCCCTTCAGATTACCCAATGCTTCTTCCTTCAGAGTTTTCTTTATGCTTGTGGACCCAAATCTCTAAACAAACCAAGATCCATTTTATTAGAAAATCAAAATATTAAGTAGAAGAATAATTACAGCATTACCCATTCCTTCATTCATTTTGTGCAGCATCTAAGATGGTGTGGCCACCCCTAGATGCAGTAACTCATGACAACAAGCAATTCTTCTTACAGTTTTCTTTTCTCAGTGCCCTATTACTGTATTTAAGAACTGATTCACTGCACAAATTTGAAATTGAACCATGGTTTGTATTATGAGTTGTTTGGGTTTTGATGCAGCGCGATCCGGGCACTCCTAACTGGCGGATCTGGCGACGGATGGTACCTGAGAAGAAGAGGGAGGTGAAGAATTCCCGGGGAGTTCGCCCGGCGGGAACACTCCGATGCTTAAGTTAGAGCTCTAAGAGAACTGTAGAGAATGCAAAGAGAGAGCTAAGAGTGCAGATGGCGCCAGTTCAGTACCTTTGTTCCTTGGGGATCGGGGTCCTTTTAATACTGATGCCCTGTCAAATCGGATGTAACCGTCTCTGGCCCTCTGTCGCAGTCGTTATTCACTAGGGCTGCGCAGGTAACCGTTGCAGGGTACTGCCCAATCAAGTGAAAGGCACGACCCGGAAAGGACAGGCACGCCGCCACCTGTCGAGAGGCGTTGGCGCAGGCCGCTGGTGATGGCAGAGACTGTGCCATCAGTCAAGAGACGTGGGTACAGTCTGGTGGGTACGGTCTTGCTTGATAAGAAGCTTCCTGAAAACGCCGCGTCGCTTAATAGCAAGCTGCCTTGTAGCGAGCTACTAGAGGTGTCCTGAGGTGATTCCGCCTGAGGTCTTCGAGACGACCCTTTTTGCCTAAGGATTGGAGTGAGCTGATTGTCCTAGCTCGCGAGCTGGGATAGACCTAGCTTGGAGCGTCCCCTTTGTCATACCGATGTGTTTGAGCTCGCGTTGTAGCGAGCTTGTTCCGTAGCGAGCTGGCCCGTGAGGGCTTTAGCGAGCTTGCTGCACCGAGTAGCCAGGCTGTCGTGCTGTGCTGTCACTTATGTCGAATCAAGTCCACGTGTCGCCCGCTCAGGAGGTCGGGTCAAATCACCCTCCATCTATTGCCCCCCACTCCTCGGGCTAAGAGTCTTACTCTAGCGTGGGGAGTTCATGAAGCGACGGGTTGATTTGACCCGTAACTCAAACTGGGTTGATTGGCCGCATTAAATACACACGCGGATGTCAGGCGATTTTTGGGTTTCTTGGGCGCCAAAAAGCGCGCCAAGCGGCTTTCAGTTTTGGAAGGTGTGCAGCCGGCATTACTTCAGTCCTGGAAGACATGCAACCAGCGTTACTTCAGTCCTGGAAGACGTGCAACCAGATTGATTGCGAACCGTTGGATTCGCCTTAATCTGAGTCGTTGGTTTTCGAGCACTAAGGGTATAAATAAAGGAGGCCCCAGGCCTCATTTCTTTTACGCCAACTTGCCCTGCTTTCGGATTTGAGGTCGCACCTTTGTCTAGTTGCTCGAGCTCTTCTTTTGCTCACACCGTTCTTCCGGTTTTAGTTTCTTCCTGGTGAGTCTTCTATTCTATCAACCATGTCTGGGTACCCACACAGCGGTGTCTTCCCTCGGGACGATAATCAAGATGACGTCCCTTTATGATCAGGGGGAGCTTGGGGGCTCCTTGAGGGTCAATCTGTGGAGGCTCGAGAAGCCTCTGAGAATTAGGCTTCTACTTCCCGAGGGCGGGAACCGGACACCTTCGGCCCTTCCACCATGACGATGGAAAGGCTCCAGGCTCTAGTTTCTTACTTTAACCTCCCCGGGGATCTTATCTACAGTCTTCCCTCCAACGACTATCCCTGGGAGCATGATCACGACGAAATCGTGATCTTTGAGGAGCAGCTTGTGGCCAGCCTCCGACTCCCTCTTCATCCTCTGGTAGTGGAGATTCTTTCCCACTTTAATGTCACTATAGACCAGCTTCACCCCAACGCGATACAGAACATGGTTGGGACAATCTCTTTGTGTTTTGAGTACTGTCTTCCCCTCTCTCTAGATATTTTTGCTTATATCCTGTCTATTAAGAATGCCTCCCCCGGAGCTCCTCCAGAAAGGCGCTCTTACTACTTTTCCCCCCGCCCAGGCTTTAAGCTCTTGCATGAGCTGCCAAACAGGATCCCCGCCTGGAAGCGGGGTTACTTCGTGGTTCGCAACCCCCAGGGGTGGCCCTTCCTAACCCACTAGAGAGGGGCCATTCAAGATCCGAGCGTTACTTTGGACCGAAAGGTTTGAGAAACGCTGCAGTCCTGGGCGGGAGTTTGCCTCCTCTGCTCGGACTATTTGACCGAGGAGAAGCTCGCGCAAGTCGGTCTGAGCCCTGGGCGGGAGTTTGCACACCGCCTTCTGTTGAGCAACCAGAAGCGTAGGGCGAAGAGGTCGCGCCCTGAATGGGCGTCCTCTTCTGGGGGCACTAAGTTCGAGGCTGCTGTGGGTCCAGCCTTTGTTTCGTCGCTAGAGGTCCCATCCATGCAATTCAAAGGGGTAGCCACGGAGAGCGGCGAGGAAGAGGTTCCCCCTCCTGAGGAGTTTGCCCCGTCCGCATGGCGAGATCCCACCGTCTTCCTGCGGTTCCCTAACGAGGGGAGAGAAGAGAGCATCACTAATTTTCTTGTGGCCTCACAGAGGAGCCGGTAGGCGGTCACCAATGAGGAGATCGCGAACTGGTCCGGGATGCACCCCAAGCTGCTCTTCAGGCTGACTTCGTCCCACTGCATGGTGGTAAGTGCCTTTTTATCTTCCCTCTTCTCTCCCTCTTTTTTTTTTTTACTCACCTCGACTTTGTTATTGGTAGTTGAACTTCGCCATCCACGCCATGGCCTGCCAGACTGCTGTCCACTCCCAGGATGCCGTCAATCAGAAGATCGAAGTGCGGAAGATTCGATGTGAGCTCGACCGGGCCCGGAACGAGGTCCTCCAGGCTCAGAAGGGAAGCGAGGCCCAAGAGCTCCTCGTCAAGGACCAGGAGGAACGAATCTCCCGATTGTCTGAGGAGAGCGCCCGCTACAGGGAGGAGTCTTCGAGGGCGGCGGCGGAGAGGGAGCTGCTTCGCCAGTAGGTTCAGAGCTTGGAGTCCACACTCCACGATCGGACCCAAAACTTCGACACCGTGGTGGAGGAAGAGCAGGCTAAGGCGGTGGAGGACTTCAAGGAATCCCCACAATTCCAGGACCTCCAAGTCGAGTACGGCTCGAGGTCTTACCATTTGGGTTTTAATCTCTGCCGGTGGCTGGTCTGGAAGAAGTTCTCCGGCTTCAACCTTGAAGGCATAACGATGAAGGGCCTGGACCCGGAGACGGCGGACATGGCAGAGGAGGAGAAGCCCGACTCTCTAGAGGACGACAAGGAGGCGGTGGAACCTTAAGGCCGGTTGCTCTTATTTTCTCTGGCTGGATTTTTTAAATAGTTGTCCCTGGGAATCTAGACCCGGTTTTATGTATTTCTTGTTTTTTTCTTTTGATGGACCCTCTCTCGGGCTGTTAGGCCCGGTTTTTTGTTTTTGAAACTGGAAATGAAGTATCCCCCCTCCCCCCCCTTTTTTTGCTAAGTGCTATGCCCTTTACTTTTTGCCGAAGCGACTTTATCACTCGAACTGTTAGAGTTGAACACCTGAAGTGGGGTTTTTCGGTCATTGTTACCCCAAGCTGCTTCCCAACACTTGGGGGGATTTTATAATGCACCCCGAGGTGGTCAACATAGCAAGCATATACTTAACCTGCATGCACCTGGGTTAAGTTGGCGTACGTTGTCCCTTAACGGGTTCAACTTGTGTATCGAGGTGAGCTATGTATCATAGGGTTCACACCCGAGCTGCCTGCGCTTTTGGTATTAATACTTAGCCTATGCCGATGAGACGATTAGGTTTTATTTGG